CATTTCTTTCTTATATCTGATAACAATTCAGTAATTTTTAAAAACTTAAAAATTATTTTTGTCTTATGCAAAAATTTATAGTCACTATTTATATTGTCTTGCATATTACAGAATCATTTTATTTTATTTACTTATGATAATTCTAACTTCAGGTTCTATTTCAGAGCATGATGTCATAAGTCATAAACATAATGTTAATAAGCCAATGTTTATTATTATATAAACATAGAATATTATCAAGATCATCACATTGAGTTGGAGATTATTTTATGCAATATAATATATATAATCTTTGAAGTAAAATTATGTTTTTTATCTCTATAAAATTGAAATAATCCAACAATTAAACAAACTAATTTCTCATAAAGTTCTGTCAACAATTTTTGGAAATTTTTAAATGAAAAGTAAATATATTAAATTACTTGATAATGCCAATGAGACTCAATTTCATTTATATTTTTAATGACAAATCTTGGAGAATTGCATCATGACCAACTGATTGTTTTGATCATCAGGGTTCTGTTACAATTAGTAATTAGTTATACTATCTGACTAAAATCATTTTTGTGGGACTTGTAAGTAAAAGAATGAAGTATTGACACACACTGATTTATTGAGAAAAAACTCATTTTTTAAATCTAATCCTAATTTATAAAAATCCAGGATGAAATATATTTTTAAAAAATATAGACAAAATACAAATAAAAATTTGATGTCTTCACACATCCTTCACAACCACAGGAACACAATTTACAAAGAAACATTTAAATCAATTTTACATATTTTTAAGCAGGAAACAACCTAAAAAAAAAAGTTGACTCTACTCTTGTTGTGTTCCTGTGGTTGTAAAGGATATGTGAAGACATCAAAATTTTTATTTGTATTTAGTCTTCAATATTTTTTTTCTAATCCTAATTTATTATTGCATCTAATACATTACTGAGTATTTAAAACTGAAATATCCTTTTACATGTATTGTACAATATATTTAATTTCACAACTTAATCTTGCATAATATTGAAATTAGAACAAAAGTAAAGTAAATCAAGGTTTTTAACAAAATTACTTTTGTTCATTATAAGTTTACATAAAATCACTTTTTATTATTATTGTTACTTTCATTTCCCATTTTTTATACAATATTTTTATTTACAGTCAGATTCCCCTAATGTCACCTATTTGAAGAACATGCATTTGGGCTGTGACCTTAAAAGGCTACATTTGAGTTTGTTAAAAGTATACACTAAACATAATTTAACAAGGCAATTGAACAACAATTCATGCATTCACACACAAAACAAACATAATGAAAACCTTGTTCATGTATACATCAAAGTAGTGAACATATATCATAAATGAAAAAAACTAACAATCTAGCTTCAATGATTTAAGTTTTGTTTACTGCATTAAAAAGAAAATCTACAGTTGTGGTTTGCACTGCAGACTTGACTCCTTTAATTACATTTTACATGATAAATAAATTTTTTGCTTGAGCTGAGAAATCATCATTTTAGATTTGTATTTAATGATACAATTTACAGGAATCATGGCTTCTTTATGAATAATCTTTCTTCTTCATAGCCACAATCCCAATTGATTTCATCAGAAGTTAGATAGTTTTTTTATCAATATTCAGAATGTAATTTTTCATGATATTTTCATCTCTGATGTTCATATACAATGGTATCTTTTACTTCAAATGACTAACTTTGAACACTTCAGTGTTTGAGTGCTAAATTTGACGACACCTTCAATTTTCCAATGTTATTTTGAAGTTTGTCAGAAATTTCGTTCTCTCTACTTTGTGATCTTCTTGAGTTTCACATGCAATTATATTCATAGACTTCCAGCAGTTTGTAACAGAGGCAAGATAAATTTCATTCAAACCTACAACAGTGTAAACAAGCATCAAGATAGTTAATGATGAGATTAATTTCTTTAGAGTCTGAAAAATCACTTTCAGTTTGTTCAAGTCAATATTTCCTGAATGAAGCAATTATTCCTGCATCCAAAGATTGGAGAATGATTGAAATATTGAAAAGAATAGTAGTTTCTGTATTTGTCAATTTTAAATCATTACTGTTATGATAAGTTGCATTGTCCGAAAGCAGTGTTCATACCATATATTTCCTTGTCAAGTTGCTATATCCAGTCATAAAAAATCTCACAAGTCATCCAAGCCTTTTTTGCTCTCCTTTTAGTGAATATCTACATTGTACAAATTTACATTCTTAAATTAAGAATCAAAACAGCAGCCAATCATTTTAAGTTTTCCTATTTTTTTTTCTTTTTTTTTTTAATATTTGTAATCTGCCCAATTAATATCATAAATTTGCAGATATTATCTTCATTTATCAGTCTTTTGAAAAATCTACTTTTTTTGCCATATTTTCTCATTATGCAAGTTTTCATAAATCCAAAGTTTGATTGGCTGTAGCTCACTGACTATTCTGATAGACTATAAACATTATCTTTTTAAATCTGTCTGACTGAAACTACTAGTCAAGTGACTTAGTATTGTCATAGCAACATGACTTGGAACTGGTCCAATTCATTCAGTCGATTATATTGTAAAATTGCCCTAAGATTTCATATTTTGCTGCAAGGTATTTTAATTAATATACATTTTGATATCACATGAAAGATAAATTTTTTATATATTAAATATATTATAAATTTCTTTAATTTGGTCCTTTATTTTTCCAATTATTATTTTTCCAGACAGGTTTTGCAAAAAAGATTAAGTTAATTAAAACAATAATGATTTATTCATGGTTTAGTTGATCAAATTCCAATAAGACTAATCTGAATAATTAAGTGTAATGCAAATGACATAATCTAAATGGTATAGCTCATCTGTGCCTACAATTTTTGGTTCAGATTTGCATAAAGCTTCATTTTATTAATATGATTTAGTCCTTCATATGAATTATCTTTTCTTCTATTAATTTTAGTCAATATAGTTATAGTTTTTGGATATCAATAAATAATAAATTTAAATCATCATTAATTCTAGTTGTGTAATCCAATTAAATCTAGTGTAGTCAAAACTCCAATTTACTGTAAATTTAATACTACATAAAAAAGAGAGAATACTAAAATTTCCTAGTTACTGTACTTGTTTTTACTTGTTCATGTTTGTAAATGCAATCTATACCTGTGTAGCTCATACAACCACATCTATGAAAGCAAAGCCATTTTAGCCAGCAAACTATTAACATTGTCAAGTTTAATACTCTAATTTTTATCTTCATCTTTTAACAGTTTAAAATAACCATAACATTTTATTTCACTTCATGCTTCTATTTTTGTTATAATTTGGTTTAAAAAAGAAAAAACTATTGTTAGAAATGAAAATAAATTTCTTTAAAAAATTTTTAACAAAATAAATATAAACTTTGTGAATGTTTGTATTTATAACACAAGTAATTATTATATCCATATTAAAAAAATATATATATATTTTTAATTTATTCATAAAAAATAAATTACAGAACTCTGGTTATCCAAATTTATTCATTCTGCAGATAATTTGGATAACTGAAAATTTGCATAAGTGGTTTAATATGTAAAAAATTAAATTACAGAGTAACACACCACAGCATTGTACACATACTGTACAGTACATAATTATTTCTTAATCAATGTATGAATACATCCTACTGGTCATTTGGATCTGTCACAGCAAATAGGTGCCATTGATCATGCAGTCATATGATATAAGAGAATTGCAGCATGGTGTCAGTGGGAGAGAGGAGGGTAAGTAGTGGTTTGGATAATTGGATATTTGGTTAATCAGAGTTCCACTGTATTGTTTATTAGCATAACAGTAATCACAACTTAAAATGATTATTTAAAATTCAGTAAATTTCAAAAACTTTAACATATATTAATATGATCTAAACTTAGAAGAGGCCTATATTATAAAAATAAATATATATGTTTCATATTTTCTATATTTTTTACATAATGAGAATGTATTATTTTCTCTTAATAATAAGAGAAAAAGATGATAATTGAAAAATAAACATTTATATTAACACTTCTCTCAAATAATCATGAAATTCCGTTTTTCAAGTGTGTAAGGAAACTGCTAAGTGGTTTCTCTCCATAAAAATAAAGCATGGATAAAACCATTACTGTAATAATGTAAATCAATTTTTACTTTATAGTAGCCAATACTTATTTGTTCCATAAATAATAGATTAGTTATGAAGTAATATTACTTACAATATCAATGATTACAGTATTCTTAATAAATTTTCAAAATATCAGGAACATTATTAATTATAAACATTTTTCAGATCACTTGCTTTCGAATAATTTCATAATTTCAAATTTAATTTTTATTTATTGAATAATATAGCACTTCTTTTAACCATTTATTTATAAATATAAATTATATAAAATTTTATTTCTTTCAATTATATATACTAAAATAAAAATAAACTCTCTCATCTTTATCATATGAAAATATAATTCATTCAGTTTCAATGCCTGTTTGTTCCATGCTCATTCCCTAAATTTCACAACTTAATTGTACTTAACTATCACTAAATATTTATTAATGTTTTTATATTTTTAAGAAATTGAGAGAAAAAAGAAAAATAAAGTAAAAAACACAGTTAAACATGAGTCTTTCTCTTGAAGTTCTCTCTCTCTCAATATTTTAATCTAGCCTAGAAATATATAACTAACTCAATGTATCAAAAGCCATGTAACACAAAATCCAAAGTATCAAATTTTGAGATTATATTTTATATCTTTACCCAATATAATTATCAATAAAAATAAAATGAAAAAGTTTGTTTCATTAAAAATATATTTTTCTCATTTCAAATGATATTTTTACAATCAATTTTAATTTTAATTTTGTAAATTTTTGTTAACTGAATATTATATTATCTTGATACAAATTTGTAAAAAAACTTCTTATAATAATAAATAAATAATTTTAAGAACATATAAAAAACAAAAATAATATGATATAATATACTCACTAATAATTCGACTTTCTTTATTATATTCTCTTTCTGTTACAACTCTAATAAATAATTCAGGTAAAGTAATTTTTTCTTCACTTTTTGCTAACTTTACAATGACACGTCCATTATCTTCATCTAATCCTTCAACCTACAAAATAAATTTTAAATCACAATACTTATGATTATGTAATTTTCAATTTTATATTTTTCTTGTTTACTGATCAAAAATAAAAATTTCTATAACTCTGTTATTGATGGAATCTACTGTTAGTCAAACATTTCATATACATGTTGTGAGCATCCTAAGTTCATAATTCACAAAAATTTTTAACAATTGTAATTTATACCAATATGCTACTATAACATATGCAATATTTATTAAAGCACCATTATTTTTTCAGTCCTAATTCTATTTAAATGTGAAATACTATTTAAAAGCCATAATGTATAAGGTTAACAAAATTTTAAAAAATGAAAATCTTTCATTTTTTTTTTTAATTTTTTTAAATGAAATGAAATACTTTCATCAATTTTGATAACTAGTAGTTAAAAAAGCATGAAGATAGCACTCAAAGTTAGTAATCATCAATCTTGAATGATTTTTAAATTTAAGATCCTATGGGGCAATAGTCATTTTACAAATTATCATTAAATGAGAAGTGAATATATAAAAGACAGTGGTATAATTTTTAATATAAAATGTTTCAAAATTAATATAAGAGTTGTTCAAATGAAAAAGACTGGACTGTATAAAACACGGTCTATAGCAGGACTACAGTGTATCCTTGTAAATCACCTCTTGCATTCAGACATGTTTTCCAACACGATACAAGTTTGTATGTACCCTCTACATAGAAAGAGGAAAACTGCTGAATGACTCATTCAGTTACAGATGCTCAAATTTTGCTGTCAGACTAGAATCTGCAACCGTTGAGAAACTTTTTTAAAGGCCTGAAAACACAAAAATCAAGAGGACATATCAGAGCTGTAAGGTGGATGCTGAATCACTTTGAATGGGAGGTTCTGCAGTGATGCAAGATGTTCTAATTTGAACAAAAATTATGAAGATTTCTTCAAATATCATATGAAATAAATAAAAGTAAAAAAAAANGTGATATATCAAGTTATTTGGGACAAGTAAATGTCTTATTTTCTCCCATATTTTCCAAATTCTGGTAGACGGTTCTCCACTATTAATAATAAAATATTGTTAAATATATTAAAACCAAAAGAAAGGGAAACTAACAACAAACTTACAATTATTAAAATAATTGGTTTCCAGATCTTAAACAAAATAAATACACAAAATCCATAAGACTGTGTGAAACCAACTGCCTTGTTACAATTTTCATTTTACAATATGATGTGACTTTACTCCCACATCTGTTCAGCATCTGTTTCAAAGGTTATGTAAAAATGATGTCATTCCATCCCTCATGTAGCTTCACAGTCCCATGTTGCTATTAATTCTAATGTAAAACTTGCTGACTTAATGGACTATAAAAGGAATCTATAAATCATAGTTTGAAAAATCAATCAAATCATTAAATTATTAATAATTTTTCAAGGAGAAAGAAAATATATATATTTACCTGACCATACTCCCCTGTATGCTGTCCTTTTTCTATATACACAAAGCAACCTCTTTTCAATATTAGATTTTCTTCTTCAACAGAAGATTTCTTATTTGTTGAATTTTGACCAGCACCAAGCCCTAATCCTTTAGGTCTAACAACAACTTCAACAGGTGTAACAGCTCTATAAAATTTAAAATTGAATAATTTTAATATTCAGATTATAGAACTAATTATCTACAAAATTATTTTCTTTTTATAAAATTTAAATAATAATTTATTTAACTAAAATTTCAACCATAAAAATAAATTTTCCAATTATAATTTCATTGTTTAAATAACTACAATATAGAACATTTTTAATAAATTATATTTTGTAAGTAGAAAATATAGTACTCATCAATATGATAATCCTTCCTTGGATAATCAAAAATGCAAACAACAAAGAACGTTTGGTAAATTATTAAAGAAACTAAATTTGGATGCATTATCATATACAATACACTCAATTTATAGATTAAACCTAGTTATTGAACATAATGACTTTTAATTATACAGAAGAACACTTATATTTACAACTATATTGATTAAAATAAATGTAAATGTATAACTACAACTAAAGTTAATTTTCTTTATTTTTAAAATTCATATTGTTATAAGTCATCATCAGAATAAATTCTTTTTTAAATTTCTAGAGCCCCTTTTAATCATTATACATCATCTGACCAAGATAATGTTCTATGCTGTGCTATGTTCACTTGTCTTTATTCATAAAAGTACTCTTCCATAGTTCATCTTCAATAATGTAGAACTATGTATAAACAGGTATTGGCTAATCATGCTGTACTTAAAAACATAGCTAAAACAATCTTTTATTAATTTTTCTGTTATAATTTATTTCAGAATTAGTTGTCAAAACTATATACAGTAATGCCTTGAGATATAAGCATACCGACATATGAGCTTTTTACAAGCCAGAGTTTGGCTGATTTTTTGCCTTGAGATACAAGCTGAATTTTAAGGTATGATTAAGTTTCAGTTACATATCTTCTAGTTCACATAGAGAGTGCTAAGCTTTGAAAGTATTTCCACTCACAGTACACATGTTCACCTCACTCTGGAAGAATCTCTGTTGTATTGTGTTGTGACTTATTTGCTGTTATTTTGCAAAATTCCTTTAGTGACGCCATGGGTAAGAGAAGTGGTGAAAAGCAAAAACGTATGATTTTGCTTGAGGTAAAGTGAAAAATTATTAAAAAAAAAAAAAAAAAAGCACAAGGATGGCTTACATCACAGCTGATGAGAAGATACCAGGCCACAAACTGATGATAGACAGGTTCTCTTTAACTGTGTGCAAATGCGATGGTGACTGCAATATAAAGCCGCTTCTCGTATCCTACTCAGAAAACCCAAGAGCTTTTAAGTTTCACGAAATACTGAAGGAAAAACTGCACATCATGTGGAGGGCTAACCCAAAAGCGTGGCTGATGGGGCAGTTCTTTGTCAATTAGATAAATTTGGTGTTTGGTCCTGCCATAAAAAATATCTGGAGGACAATGATCTACTGCTGCAAGCCATTTTCAATAATGAGCCAGCCCACACACCTACCTCAAAAGATGACACCTTTGAGGAGTTCATTTTCATCAAGGTTCTCTGCCTTCCTCCTAACACCACTCCTATCCTACAGCCAATGGACTAACAGGTGATCTCCACTTTCAAGAAACTGTATATCAAACATCTTTTCAAACAATGCTTTGAGGTTATGGAAAATACCAACCTCATCTGTCAAGAGTTCTGGAAGAATCATTTTTAACATTGTGATACGTCTCAAAATTATTGACTTGGCCTGGCAGGGTGTTACAAAGAGGACATTGACCTCTGACTGGAAGAAACTGTGGCTAAAGGGGACTTTAAAGGGTTTGAACCTGAAGAGGAAGTGGTAGAAAAGATTGTGTCCCTCGAAAAATCCATGGGTCTGGAGGTGGATGAGGGAGATGTGAATGACCTTGTAGATCAGCTTTCAGAAGAACTCACAATTGAAGAGTTGGAGGAGTTACAGAAAGAGCAGATAAGAGAGATTATACATGAGATTGGTATTCCTGTGCAGGGCAAGTGGTGGAGGAGGTTATCTCTACAAGTGAAATTAAAGAACTCTTGGCAATGCGGGAGAAATTTATGGACTTTGTCAAAAGAAAACACCCAGAAAAAGTTGCAATTAGTCATGTTATGGCTTTAGTTAATGACATTTGCCTTATGCATTTTAGAAACATTTTAAAAGAGAAGAAGAAACAACTTCCTCAAACAGTTTTATGTTAAAAAGACCAGATGATAAAAGTGAAGAGAGTAGGCCCAAAAAGGCAAAATTTTGTGACAACAAAAATTAATTTAAGTGAAAGAAAAGTTAAAAAAAAACTAAATATAATAAAAAATTTTAAAAAGCAAATAAAAAATTAAAAAATTTAAAAACTAAGTGATAAAGTTAATCTTTGGTTTAATTTAGATAGAGTTGGATAACCTAATAAATAGGATTTTAACAATTTGGAGAGCTTATCACACCAAGGCTGACCAAAAAATGATCTTTCACAAAAAAATTAGTCTGTAATAATCACCATCAAATTTAGAAAAGAATGCATTTTGGGTGCAAGGATCCCTCATCAGCTTACAAACACATAGTACTAACTTAGCATACATACAATTATAACACTAATAGTTAAACAATACAAAGGAATTTTTTATATATACAGTGCACTGTATTTACAATAGTTAATACAACCCATATACTAAAGAATAAAAAACTATATAGCATAAAAATTTTTTTATGTATTAATGTGATATATCAAGTTATTTGGGACAAGTAAATGTCTTATTTTCTCCCATATTTTCCAAATTCTGGTAGACGGTTCTCCACTATTAATAATAAAATATTGTTAAATATATTAAAACCAAAAGAAAGGGAAACTAACAACAAACTTACAATTATTAAAATAATTGGTTTCCAGATCTTAAACAAAATAAATACACAAAATCCATAAGACTGTGTGAAACCAACTGCCTTGTTACAATTTTCATTTTACAATATGATGTGACTTTACTCCCACATCTGTTCAGCATCTGTTTCAAAGGTTATGTAAAAATGATGTCATTCCATCCCTCATGTAGCTTCACAGTCCCATGTTGCTATTAATTCTAATGTCTTCCTGTATTTTCAGAATTTCTGTGTATTCCTGTAGTCTTCTTGATTGTTTTCTGTCAGAATACTCTTGATACTATCCTTTAAAATTTCATAACCTTCGATATTGCAATGTTTCTGATCAAATTGTTTTTGATGGCATATATATGTTCTTTAATTCTTGTCTTTAATTTCCTTCCAGTTTCACCAATGTATCTTTTTTATGTGAACAACTGCAATTCAATGAATAAACTACAGTATCTTTTTCTAAATCATTATGTTCATTATTTTTATATTTACTGTTAATCATTTTTGCTACGATTCTTGTATGGTTTGATACCAAAATAATATCTAAATTTTTTAATTTTTCAAAAACACTGAAAACATATTCCATTTTCAGATACAATGTTTTAACAACTCCCAGTTGTCTATTTAATATAACATTTTCTCTTTTCCTTTTACTTGTTTCTAACCATTTTAACAATAATGTTCTAGAATAATTATTTAAGCTAAACATTCTTATTATATCTTAAAAGAGAAGCCCTTGAAAGAGAGAAATGGAAGAAACATATTAGAGAAGGAAACACCAACCCCATATAAACATGAGAAAAGACGAGGATAAAGAAAGAAGAAGATTCTTATTATATTTTCTATTTCCATTTCTTGATCATTTTGCATGGTCATTCTCTCTTTAATTTTGTTAATGTGTTTCTAAAAAATGTTATTTTTTATATATAAAGGTACATTAGATTTGAAGTGTATAAGTTTACCGGTAGCACATTCTTTAACATACTTTTTAAATAATAATTTACTATTTAATCTAACTATAGTAAATTCTAAATAGTTCAGACTATTATCTACTTCTTTTTCACATTGGAATTGAACATTTTTATTTATTAAATTAATTTCCTTAACGAAAGAGTCAATATCTAGTATTCTTTTATCATAGATGATGTCATCTACATATCTTTAATCTTTGGTATTGTAGACTATTTCATCAAAATCTATCTTAAGATCCATTTTTTTTTTGTTTTTTTATGAATTTTCAATCCACTTTTGACTACTGCTTGCCTGTCTATTCAAGAAGAAGAGATGGGATTTGAAGAGATTTAGAAGAGATGGGATTGTCACCATCTCTTCTAAATAAAGCTAATAAAAAAATTCAAAAGACATACTTTCTTCTAAATAAACTCAGCAACCTTCCATATACCAGAAGTTTTGAAAACATGACTTAGATTACTCAATCTTATAAAATGAATAAAATATTTTGACTGTATATTATGTTTCAAATTTTATAATCATATAATAAATAACTATGGGCTTTGCCTAAGAGTTCCTAATAAGAGAATCTGTAATAATTCATGTCTACTCTATATTACCACCTATCTATTTCCTACAGATCATTCCTTTACTGTGTAGCTGATAACTTGTGACCAAATAATACATATTGCATCTTAATTATACTATCTTTAGAAGTTCATGCAAACATATTTTATATAAAATCAGCAGATGAGCCCGTCGTTGCCCAGGCAAAAAACAAAACAACAAAGATTAAGATTAGCAAGGTTGAGGCTGAAGTTTTAAATGCAAAAATGTGTATGTCAGACGTTCAGTGCCGCCATCCTGTAAGCCTAGAAATTTGACAATGGTGTTTGGAATGTTGAGCATGATTCCACTGACTATTCAAACACCATTGTCAAACTTCTAGGCTTACAGGATGGCAGCACTGAATGTCTGACGTACACGTTTTCGCGTTTATAACTTCAGCCTCAATCTCGCTATTATTAGATTATTTCGTACTTCTAATCCTTCTATTCTAGTAGCCTGACACACCCTTAGCGGGTGTTCTAGCAGCAGCTGTGTCATTCTGTGGTATAAATAATAAATTCCTATTACAAATAAAAATAATAATATACTAAATTTATTGTTAATTTAAATAATAGCTAGGGGTGCCCCTAGTGGCCATTTTGGGCATACAGTGACAGAAAGAAACTGGATTTTTAGCTTTATATAGTAGATTTAATAATGAACTTGTTTGTTCAATTTTAATCAATATGTATTTTCTCTTTTTATCATTTTAAATTAGTTCTCTAATTTTTTTTAATATATTTTTTAATTCAACAAAATACTTTCCATTTATGAAATTTTCCTTAATTTTACTACATTTCACTATACCTATAAAATGCAGTCTACTTTTGTCAGTTCTCTAACGTTTTCGGTCTAATTTATAGACCTTCTTCAGGATTGATGCAAAATATTTTAAAAATTTGAACTTTCTCAACGGTAATTCGAACCACGCACGTTCTATAATCTTCAGATATTCAATCGCGCATGTCCATTAGGTGCAAATGCGATGGTGACTGCAATATAAAGCCGCTTCTCGTATCCTACTCAGAAAACCCAAGAGCTTTTAAGTTTCACAAAATACTGAAGGAAAAACTGCACATCATGTGGAGGGCTAACCCAAAAGCGTGGCTGATGGGGCAGTTCTTTGTCAATTAGATAAATTTGGTGTTTGGTCCTGCCATAAAAAATATCTGGAGGACAATGATCTACTGCTGCAAGCCATTTTCAATAATGAGCCAGCCCACACACCTACCTCAAAAGATGACACCTTTGAGGAGTTCATTTTCATCAAGGTTCTCTGCCTTCCTCCTAACACCACTCCTATCCTACAGCCAATGGACTAACAGGTGATCTCCACTTTCAAGAAACTGTATATCAAACATCTTTTCAAACAATGCTTTGAGGTTATGGAAAATACCAACCTCATCTGTCAAGAGTTCTGGAAGAATCATTTTTAACATTGTGATACGTCTCAAAATTATTGACTTGGCCTGGCAGGGTGTTACAAAGAGGACATTGACCTCTGACTGGAAGAAACTGTGGCTAAAGGGGACTTTAAAGGGTTTGAACCTGAAGAGGAAGTGGTAGAAAAGATTGTGTCCCTCGAAAAATCCATGGGTCTGGAGGTGGATGAGGGAGATGTGAATGACCTTGTAGATCAGCTTTCAGAAGAACTCACAATTGAAGAGTTGGAGGAGTTACAGAAAGAGCAGATAAGAGAGATTATACATGAGATTGGTATTCCTGTGCAGGGCAAGTGGTGGAGGAGGTTATCTCTACAAGTGAAATTAAAGAACTCTTGGCAATGCGGGAGAAATTTATGGACTTTGTCAAAAGAAAACACCCAGAAAAAGTTGCAATTAGTCATGTTATGGCTTTAGTTAATGACATTTGCCTTATGCATTTTAGAAACATTTTAAAAGAGAAGAAGAAACAACTTCCTCAAACAGTTTTATGTTAAAAAGACCAGATGATAAAAGTGAAGAGAGTAGGCCCAAAAAGGCAAAATTTTGTGACAACAAAAATTAATTTAAGTGAAAGAAAAGTTAAAAAAAAACTAAATATAATAAAAAATTTTAAAAAGCAAATAAAAAATTAAAAAATTTAAAAACTAAGTGATAAAGTTAATCTTTGGTTTAATTTAGATAGAGTTGGATAACCTAATAAATAGGATTTTAACAATTTGGAGAGCTTATCACACCAAGGCTGACCAAAAAATGATCTTTCACAAAAAAATTAGTCTGTAATAATCACCATCAAATTTAGAAAAGAATGCATTTTGGGTGCAAGGATCCCTCATCAGCTTACAAACACATAGTACTAACTTAGCATACATACAATTATAACACTAATAGTTAAACAATACAAAGGAATTTTTTATATATACAGTGCACTGTATTTACAANTTATAATGTATATATATATATATATATACATACATATATATACACCATATTGCTATATTTATGTTGTTGTTTTCCTTGATTTGAATTTAATGAGGTTATAATTGTTAAAAGGAAGGTGGAAATACACTTTACAATGGACATTTTCATTCAATTATAAAATACGTAAATGAATAAATAAATATTATTTGTTTTTTATGGCCAAACAATACCAAACAATTACCAAACAACTAAAAATTCATTATATAACAACTAGAAAATAACCAATAATGAGAAATTCATAAGAAATTAATACATTTATGAAAAGTAAACTTCTGGTATAAAAATTATATATAAATAATAAAATATTTAATAATTATAATAATAATAATTTCAAAAATTTATAATAGCATTTCTACTTATCAAAACAAATATACTAAACAGTTTCTATGGCAGCATTAACAAATTGAAATAATAGGATTAACGAAAATCAGTCAAAACATATTTGGTTTGCTTAAACTAGTGCTAGACAAACTCAGACAATATTGAGTAGATCCAGATTTAAAGGATTACTATGATATTTATTTATTTATATACATAACCATTGCCCAAAAGCAACACAAAAGGTAACAAAAGAAACAATAAAAAAGTAAAACTAATTATTGATAATGTAAGCAAGCTTTTAACACAACAATTTATATATGTGATAATCCAAATAAAATAACTGCTCAGTATAAATCTTTCAAATCTGAAGCATGACATCACAGTATTAAGCAGATTTTAGTCAATATACATATATACATTCTTTTTTTCCTATTAACACATTTAAAAACATTCAATAGCTTTAATTATATACAAACAATATCATGATGTTTATTTCAGATTCAGATTATTTCAGACAGATATCTATGCTTGTAATATAAAATTATACAGTAGAGTCACATATAATGCACAAGCAAGCAACACCCTCAAATTTTGTCGATCAGAGGTATACATTTTTTTCAACTTATAGGCCAAGATTTAAACTTTCATAAATCGTGTGATAATACAGATTTCAACAATGCGATTTCCTATAATGCGTAACGAATCCCCCACATTGTATGGGACTCTGCTGTACATATAAATTCTTTCTAAATTGCAAATAAAGAATATTATAATCTAACAAGATATTCTTTTATTTATTTTTGCAACTTAATTTCTAGTTTGTAAAACTTATAACATTAATTAAAACTACAATAATATAATTATTATATTAGTGTAATTATCAAGTAAGTAAAATAAAACTGTCATTAAAATTACATACTTTTTATTCTTATCTCCAATTGGATATCCAGGCTTCCATCCCATTCCTCTTAATAAAGCATACCCATATTCTTTAACAGGTACATTTTCATAGTCTGTAAGAGTTGAATCATTAGGACGTAAAGTAACATCCATTTTAGTCTCAGTTTCATACCCATCAGGAATTTTATTTTGAATAAGCAATGGAATGATCATATGGTCTCTATTTTCACGTTTTTCCCAGTCTTCATTAGCCTTAGCACTTTCTGAAATAGAACAAATAAAAAAACAAAAATCTCAGTTTAATTGCCAATAAGTTAGTTTACATAATAATATGCTATAAATCATCAATAAAATTTAAATTATTGCTGTAGAGTAAAAATAAAAAATGTTTTCTTTTATGTAACAAAAATTAAAGATTTCAGTAAACTTCGACTGTAACTTAAAAGAAAATAGCAGCTTCCTCTTCCTCAACAGTTATGTTTATATCTGCAAACTTGAACTGTTTATATACAAGTTCAATTAGAAATTTGACATATTTGAAATTTCAATTTCACGTAACAGGTTTTCAAAAAATAATCTGTATAAGTTTGTGTAAATAATTTTTACCCTGGAAAAAAGAAAACTATAAACTATATAGTTGTTTGAAAGGTGATGAAAACTGTACACTATGTTTTATTTTTATACTTCTACAAGTCAAATCCATTGTCAGATACAGTTAATTTGACTTTGTGTGTGCACTGCAAGTTTCTGTACAAGACTTTAGTTCACATTTTTTTAGACAATACTTTACTCTATGGTGGTAATTCAGTCTTGAGAAATGCAGAATGTAATATGTAGTTCATTTTGAAATTCCTTCATTTTTAAAATACAAGAAAAGTTTACTGTAAACCAGGGCCGGATCATCGCATAGACAAATGAGACAAATGTCTAGGGCCCGGTCAAACTGTCTATTTTGAAAAGATTTGTAAATAAGATAGATTACTCTTCTGTTGGACAACTGTATAATAGTGATAAAACTGGTAAAATATTATATTATTTAAATATTAACCAAAAAGGTTAAATTAAACAAGTAAAACGGCAAAACCGTATTTGGGACATGACTATGTCTCGGAGACACTACTAAGCAGAATCACTTTGATGCTCAAAGCGGATCTCGTTCTCATTCTCCAATCTTCTTTGGTATCGCTGCTTTTGGGCGCGATCGTTCAAACTTCGCCAGCCACGACCACGAGGTCGTCCACCATGCATTTTCGATGAAATTAACCTATCCAATTTCGAAATTTCTCTCCGTTGCGTGTCGGCCCGGGTTGAATTTTTGTCGATGCCTAACGAAAATTTCTCGTCTTTGAAAAAAATAATCGTGGCTATTGTATCGTCCGAAATTTTTTTTTTTATTTTGCACAAACAATATACAGTTTAACCTGATTATAACGTCAAATTTTTACTGGTCCCACGATTTTACTATACTAGACAATGTTAAAAAACCTACTTGTAACGACATAAAACCCTGTTTTAATGTCATATTTGAAGCACTCCCAAATTTACAAAATTAGATTACAAATTTTATTTAAGAAAGAAAATACTACGTGTTCAGTCCTAGGGTCAGAGTCCATTTCCTTGAACGACTGTGGGTGGTACTCTCACCACCTGACTTCGGTTTGCCTGTTTGTAGAGAGAGTCGCCATTTTGTATTTTACTTTCACTCGGTTCTCGGTCCCGAGTACCTACAAGTCAGGTTTTTTTATGCGCGCATGATTTGGGCACTTAATACTCTGTGCCAAATTGCAACTCCTGACATGTACTCCTTCATACCTCTAAGCTGGTAACACAGCAAGCAGTACGATTTTATAAACAAGACATAGTCTTGTTGACAATTATTTTTTTTAAGGTAATATTGTTATTTTACAACAACTTTTGTTAGACATTTAATAAAACAAATTTCAATATTTTAAATTTATAAACAAACTGTTCAAACTTTTCTAGAAAAACTAAAATTTATTGTTGTGTATTAAATATTTTTTATTAATAAAAATTTAAGATTTGTTTTAGTTTTTCACATTATTTAGTTTTGTTTTATTTATCATTTTATATTTTTGTGTGCCCTATTTCTAATGTGAGAAAGGGGGGCCCCATAAGAAGAAAATGTCTAGGGCCCCAAAGTGGGTTAATCCGGCCCTGCTGTAAACCAATGTTTTATTTAATTTTTTAGAGTTGTACACTCTTAGGTATAAGGCGTCTTCTATCATTGAAAGATTTTTGCATTTTGAAAGCAGAAAATCAAATGCAAAAAAAAAAAAAAAATATTCTAGAATATTATACAGCATTTCAGGCATTTTCAAATTATAGCACTTGCATCATAATTAAAAATTATTGGCTGTTAGCTAGAACCATGAAATTTTTTATGTTAATTTGAACCAAATGAAAACATTTGAAAATTATTTTTCCAAATACAAGAATATTTTCCAAATTCTTTATGATATCTCTCAAACAGATTGATTTAAAAATATATTTGCTTAAAACTGATAAATCTTTAAAAAACAAAAAAATTTATTGCAAGCCTATGAAGATTTGACTAAATTTTGTGGACTGACAAAACAGACATCAAGGAATTTAACAATATCAAATTATTATTAATAATAGCAAATATTACAACTACAAAATAAACGAGCAATTATTTATTATGACATCGTCACAATGTCAGGTTGCAATTTTTAATAAGTTAATTTAAAATAGATGCTTGCCACCTCAAATTAGTAGTGGCTTGTTCCTGTACATCATACTTTTCCTTTAACAATAGAGTCATGCCAGTCATCTATCTAACACCTTTCAGAGAAAAATTTTGTTTTGAAATAAAATGACATCCAGTTTGCATTGGAAGTTCTTATATAGTTAATCGAGGCCTCCTGCCTAAGGTTTCCATATCTGACTTGTCTTTCATCTAAGTCTGTTCTCGAGACCAAGAAAAGACAAATGGATGAATGGAGGGACAGAAGGATGATAGTGGGAATTTATAGATTTACAGTTTTTTTAAACTGCAGCCCAATAATAAAGTAATTAAATCTACTAATTGTCCATAGACAAACAGAATAAATTTGTAAACCTGTGGTTAAATACTATGCAAAAATGTACCATACCATCTATGACGTTAAAAATACTGAAACTTTTGTTAAATTAACTTGAAAATTTAATATCAAATTCAATTCTAGACATAGACCATTGAGTAATAAATAATACATTAAATTAATCAGCGAAAAATGTAGTATTTAATATGATCATTAAATTTTTAGGGGATAGGACAGAAGAAAGAATATACTTATAAGCATAATACATGAAAATTCAATAATGCAAGAATTATAAATGGAATAAAAATACAATTTTTCAGGACTGAACATCATGATACTGTTGGTAAACTCAATAAATGTTTCCCTACAGAAATTTAAAGAAAAACAGTTTATATAAAATACTGTAAAAATATATTAACTAAAATACTGTAAAATATCAACTAAAAATATTTTCTTCTAGAAAAATAAATGCTATTTTCTTTATGCATATCATTTATATAACAATTTATATCACACAACTAGTTTTTCTTTTTATATCTTTAATAATAGAAAGAAGACTTACCGTCAAGTATTTCTTTAATAGCCAAATCCTCCAAAGATGAAACAGATTTATCTGCATTTGGTAATCTCCAATTATTATTCTTAATATGAGGAATGACAAGTTCTTTTTTCTTTTCTTTTGTTTTAGGTGCAGAACTGAAAATATAATTTATAATTCAATTTTTATTATTCAAAATAAAACAAATAGAATTGTAATAGACTAAAACTGGATGATGAGAATAAAATAAATATCAACTTTTAATGAGATAATTAATTATAAATGAATAGCTAATACATGTGATTGAAAAAATTAGTTATCTTCTGGTTTTAAATATAGAACAAAAAACAGAAATGAGTAATTACAAGATTGAACATGATATACTATTCTGTAACTACTACTTAGTGCTACTTGTAATCTTATTTTTTCATCTCATCAATAATCTGATCATCATCCATAAATGCAATCTGGACATGCTCAGCAGTTATAAATTACATGCTTACTATCATACCTGTGCATTTGCTGAGAGAATATTTTTATTAACAAATGTTTACAGCCTACTCCCATAGACATCATCAGATTTTATAGAACTGTTTTTAGAAAATGTTCATGAATAGAACATTCCATTTAAATTTTATCTTTGAATGATTCTAAATACAAATTTAAAATGAAACAAATTAAATAAATAAATTATGAAAAATATAAGATTAACAATGAATAAAAATATACTTCAAGAAATAATATAAAGTTAACAAAATAAAAATGTATAATAAAAACTATGAAAGTATAACACATAAGCCAAATATGATTATAGAAGGACACATAATTCAGGGGTTTTTATGTTCTAATCTTTTTTCAATAATGTATTTTCAAACTGAAGCTAAAGCATTTGCATCTTTTGCATTCAGGCATTGCTCTTTGATCTTGCTCTTGTAAATCTCTATTTTTTTCCAGATTTGATATTAATGAGAGCTGATAAGATAAAACAGCTGGTAATTATGAAAAGACAGTTCTGTAACAAAGCTATGGAAGATTATATTACAAAACAGAGTGAAAAATGGTTGATGAAAAAATCATAGCAATAACAGACAGAAAGGTTAGAAAAACTAGAAAAAACCACTTGCTTTGCTCTTAACTTTCCTAAAAAGATTGCATAAATTTAGTCTCCAAATGCCAAGAATCTTTGCCTTTGCAAAAATGCACAAGGTAACCAAAGAAATCAGACTGGTAGTAGAGAAATGCAAAGCACCAATGTATATTCTCGAAAAACACCTACACAGATACATTTGTGACCAATTAGAGAACAGTATTTATGTGGCACAAGATCCAAGCAAAGTAGTAAGAGAATTAGAAGGCTTGGATTTAATGAATGATGAAATAGGAGCAGTAATGGACTTTGAAAAGTTTGTATCCTTCTATTAAATTGGAATCTTGCTTCAATGCAGTTATTGGGTTCATGATTCAACATAAACCAATTATTTGCTTACCCAAATAAAATTAATGAGTTAATCAAATTAGTTTGCTATCAATTATTTTCAGATTCAATAGCAAATCCTATAAACAAAAGAAAAATGTCCCAACAGGAAATCCTGTTTCAGGACTTTTATGCAAATTTGTACTACATAAGCTCAAAAAAGATATTCTCAGATATTTTTTCACAAATTAAAGACAAAGTCACTCTAAAAATATATTTCAGATGATCGCCATTTTTACATAGTGTTCTAGAACAAATTATAGACAGCTGGACCTTCCTTTTTAGGCTATACACTGCCTACATTTAAAAAAGTTCCTTAAAAACGCAAAAACCAATAAAGATTTAAAAAATTTTTAAGGAACTTTTTTAAATGTAGGCAGTGTATAGCCTAAAAAGGAAGGTCCAGCTGTCTATAATTTGTTCTAGAACACTATGTAAAAATGGTGATCATCTGAAATATATTTTTAGAGTGACTTTGTCTTTAATTTGTGAAAAAATAATTTATTCATCCGACGGAAATTCAAATTCTCAGATATATCACAGAAGTTATCTTACTCTAGAAAAGATATATGGATGATATATTCATAATGAGGAGGAACAACTGGAGGGTTCAGGAGTTTTGTGGAGTTGAATGTGGTTAACAATAGACACAGTTTGAACCTAAAACTAGAACAGAGCACTAAATTGTCTGCATTTCCTATCCATTGACATCCAGTTTAAGAATAAAGGTACAGTAGAGCATCAATTATCTAACCCCCGATTAACTGTCACATCAGTTAACCAATCGTTCCAGTCGGCAAATTTCAAATGTCCGCTAGTGATGTAGCCCGACAATATTTGGCTATGTCTTGGCTACTTTAATATTATTTTTGTTAAATTTTTGCATGTTTTAGCTGGCATCAATGGCTCGACCATTGAAGGGAGGCCAGTATTTAAACGGGACTTAATTTTCTAATTACGAGTGGTTGCTTGTTTCGTGAACAATAAAATAATTTTAAAATAATTTTTAACGATACAATAGCCACAATTATTATTTTTAAAAAAATTGTTAGGCTAAACATTGATGAAAATTTAATGCAAAGTTGGTTAATAGCGATATACTAATAAACTAATTACATGGAATATACTAATATCCTAATATACTATACTAATAGTGAATTTTTTTCCTTCTTTTCGGTTATCCGATTTTTTCACTTATCCAACCAACATGAGTCCCCAATTGAGTCGGATAATCGATGCTCTACTGTATTTATCTGATGTATATATCAAACCAATATGCTACTCTGTACATACCATCATGGTCTAATGACCCTTACAAGTATAAACTTTCTGCATTCAGAGCACTGCTTAGAAAGGTCTTTTTGTATTGTTCCAATATACAGGACCACTTAAAAAAAAAAATTTATAAAATTTTAAAAATTGCTACAACTTTTGGGTACAGAACATCCTCTATAGAAGGGCTCATCAAGAGTTATGAAGAAACAAAGGTAAGTCTCCAAAAAACATCAATAGAATCAATAAATTTACATACAACAAATGGATGAGATGCACTATAAATGAGCTGGAAACTTACAAAGACTCAAAAATAGTTTACAAAAGAGCTCCTAATATTTATAAGTTAAAGGTGTTATTTATATTATTGTTAATCTTATATTTTCATAATTTATTTATTTAATTTGTTTCACTTTAAATTTGTATTTAGAATTATTCAAAGATAAAATTTAAATGGAATGTTCTATTCGTGAATATTTTCTAAAAACAGTTCTATAAAACCTGATGGTGGCTATGAGAGTAGGCTGAAAACATTTGTTAATAAAAATATTCTCTCAGCAAATGCACAGGTGTGGTAGTAAGTTTTTAATCCATAAGTGCATATTTTATTAGATTAAACATAAGATTTTGATAAGGAAAAGTCCAAATTATATGATGAATAAAATAATACAATTGATTTCTATAACATTCAATTAAAATAATGATAAATGTTACAGTGAGGAATGATATCTTTGTTTTGAATAACAACTCAAAATTATATTATTTTGTAAACAACAAATGCTCTCATTAATTATATTAAACTGTGCTAAGCCATAAATCAATCATATAATGAAGATCTGACCCATATATTTGGTCTGATAAAAATTCAGATCAAATAGCATGCCTGGAGAAATAAAGCTAATTTCAGTACACATCAAAAAATTTTATTATTAGCATGGCTTTTCTAAGAAAATTCAAAGAAAGAAAAAAAAAAAACTACATGGAAGGATAGAGATGCAATTAAGATAAGTGATTTTTTACACTATATTTGTTATATTTTTCAATAAATTTTTGGTAAAGAAAATAACTTTTCTATAACCTTCTTTTTATTCAAAATGTTAAAAATATTTTTCTATCTAAAATTAAAATATCAATTTTTTTTATCTATATATTTAAAAAAAATCTAAATATCCAAAAGATTTTAACTGTTATAAACANCAAACTGTCCTTTTAGGTTAAAAAAATAAAGTTATATATATATATATATAATATAATATATATATAACAGTTATATATATATAACTTTATAACTTCATATCTAATGTTGAATAATATTTTAGAATTTGTATCTCTTCTCTATTTCCATTTTATTTTCTTATATCAAGATAAGAATTTGCTATAACAAACTGGAAACAAAAACAATTTTTTTTTTTCAAAGCAACAAATAATATGAAAGTATCCCATCTAAAAAATTTAAAACAATAGATTTTCTCTTAGTTTCTTGATGTAATTAATTTCAGAGGCCCAATAAATTCCATATAATGTAATCACTTTGGGACTTGCCAATACTGAAGATAATGATAAACTTGATTTAAAGAGTATAAAATAATTAAGATTAAATTAGAGGAAAAGAAATTCTAACATTAAGCAGATTTTATTGTATTTTAATGTTTTTAACGTTACTTACTATTTTAACAGCAGTTAAAATTGAGTTAGCATTTTTCTTTAAATTTTATCGATACATAAACAAGCTTTAGTTAACGTTGAAACATTTTCTGCTTTTACAGTCTATCAATTCTCAGTTGTATCATTTTTATATTTTGACATGAGAAAATGAAGATAAAACAATAATTCTCAATTATATCATCATTTTTTATATCAGAACAATCTAAAAATATCTTCACAATAGCTTCTATACATCCTAAATAAATAATGCATAAATTTTATACTAGACTCTAGATTACCATACTCTATAACAATATATCATGTCAGTCCATATGCATATTTTTGGCATTATTGATATCAAACATAATCTGACAATAAATAAACATTTAGTTGATGACAAAATTGATCTGGTGAAAGAGTATAATACAGTGGATGATCGGTTAACGAACATAATCCGTTCCAAGACTTTGTTTGCTATCTGAATTGTTCATTAATCGATTATCGATTTACCATAGGTTTTTATGGGAATTTGATTAATTCATTCTGGAGACTCCAAAAAATAAAAAATATATACTTTCTTACTATGTTTATTTATATGCAATAATAAAAATACATATATACACAGTCTTGCATTTTAATTAGTCATGTTTTTTTCCGTTTGTGGGGGTTAAAGAATCTGTCTAATGTTGATTGCTTTTCTCTTTTTTCAGGATTTTTCAGAAGTAATTACAATACAGCGTCGTTTATCCAAAAGCCAGTCAACTGAAA